CGCCACCCCTCTCTGTCCTAGGTGGGCGCGCACCGCGCTTCGACCCCACGGCCTTCGTGAAAGCCAAGGAGAAGAAGCAGAGGGAGATCAAGATGAAGTTAGTGAGCCCTTCCTCCCCGCTGCGCTACTTGCTTGTTTTCCTTACTTGCACCGGGTTTGTGTTGCCGCCTGCTTTCTCCCCTCCCAGGCGGTGGGTCACCGGCTCTGGCTGTGACTCAGGCAAGGCGACGCCCTTGCCCTCCTAATTTGGGCGAGGAGTGTGCATCTCCCTTTCCCGTCTTCAGGCAGCAGCAGCGGAACCGACTGGGCAGTGGAGGAAGTTCACACCGCAGCTCCTCCGGTAAGCGGCCTGGAGCCCGGGCGGCTCGCTGGGCGGCGGACTGGGCCGGGTGAGCGAGGAGGCTCAGGCCTTCGTCTCCCCCTAGTGGACAGTTTCCGCAACCGCTGCTCCTCGGCCAGCTCCTGCAGCGAGTTCGAGGATTTCTCCGAGTCTCTCTCCAGAGGGTAAAACGTGGTACTACTGGGACCGCAGCTCCTCCGGTAAGCGGCCTGGAGCCCGGGCGGCTCGCTGGGCGGCGGACTGGGCCGGGTGAGCGAGGAGGCTCAGGCCTTCGTCTCCCCCTAGTGGACAGTTTCCGCAACCGCTGCTCCTCGGCCAGCTCCTGCAGCGAGTTCGAGGATTTCTCCGAGTCTCTCTCCAGAGGGTAAAACGTGGTACTACTGGGGGGAGGACCATTTGGAAAGAGTGCCTGGGGAAACTGCAAACAGCCTTTTGCGGGGAAAATGGGTGGTGGAGGCTGAGGAACTTGAAACCACGGCAGTGGGCCACGTGGAAAGTACCAAAGGCCAACCCACCCCTGGTCCTCAATTACCCCTCTTCTCAGCCTTCGCTGTCGCCGCCGCGGAAAGCCACCCAGCCCCACACCTTGGAGTGGGTCTAATACAGTAAGTGTTGCCAGGCCCCGGAGGAGGGAAGGGTAGCATTAAGACACCGACAGCCAGCTGCCCTCTTCCCCATGACTGCGTCCTGGGGACGCAGAGGTGACTCTGAAGTGCTTCTGGAAACAGGGCCAGAGAGCCCTGAGAGACCATGTGATCGGTGGGAAGAATAGTTGGGTACGCAGGATGCTGTAAGCTTTTGGCCTCGAGTTGCCAGGTCTTCAAACCGGGCTGCTGTTTCTGCCTGTGTGACTGTTAGCACTTGGCCTCTGTGCCTCAGTTGCGTTTCCAGCTCACTGGGAAAGGTAATGACATCACCTGGGGGGGTCCTTGTGATGGATGGCACAAGGTGATTTCGAGTACCGAGTGCCCAGTAGGTGTCAGCCCTATTTTCTCCGAGGTCCTGGGATTTAGAATTTCCAGTGCATCTGTGGGGCAGGGAGAGAGGGAGAGTGCCTGACCCTCTGTCCCACCTGCCCCATAACCAGAAGTCCTCCCCCCGAGAATGCAGCAGTCAGAGACGCCTGGCCAGTTCGGGGGGCTGGGTCCCCATCAAAGGTGAGCCTGAGGGGCCGCGGGGTCCCCTCCCTGCCTGCTGGGATAACAGGGCGGTGTATTGGCTTGGAGCTTCCTGTGGCTTCAGACTCTTCACAGCCCCCACGCCCCACGCCTGCCCTCACAGAGTACAGCTCGGACCACCAGGCAGCTGACATGGCCGAGATAGACGCCCGCCTGAAGGCCTTGCAGGAATATATGAACCAGCTGGACACGCGGTCCTGACCATGGAGAGGTGCCACTGCCTCTCCACCCTGCCCGCCAGTGGGTATGGCACAGGAGCAGGGCCAGGGCCGGGCTGCCCTTCCAGGTGCCCCGGGGTCTCAGGTGTGTGAGGTCCCGACCCTGCCCTCTCCCTAGGCAGTGGGTACTGGAAGGGTATGTACATTTTGTAAATAAACGTGTTCGTCCTCGGGACCCGTTAGCTTATGACTGAAGGGTGGGTGGAGTGGGGAGAAGCGAGGAAGATGGGGAGATAAAATTGGGACCTGTGGATATTTCTGGCCATGTCTGTGACGGCAGGCAGATGGGAATTCAAGCTCAGGAAGAACTTCCAGACCCCTAACATAGGAGGGACCCAAGGGGCAGCAGTGAGCAGCCAAAGGAGTCCAAGCAGAAATTCTGCGCAGGATGTCTGTGTGCTGGGGAAGGAGTCTCCTGCTGCATGGGCAACTGCCTGAGATGACCCCCGAGCTTCTGCTGGTGACGTCTGAACCTGCTTGGTGCTGATTCCTGGGCTCTGACCTGAGACCTCTGGGTTCTGAGCTGTGATGTTGTCTCCGAGCTGGGATCTCCGGGGTCTTGGTTCAGGGTCGGGGCCTCTGGGTTCTGAGGACCAGCGAGGACAGAGCTGGGAGGAGGGGACTGGCCGGGGTCCTGTGGGGGGTGGAGGAGGGGGCTGTGTGGCGTGACCTGCTCAGAAGCACAGTTGCATCTTTATTGGAGGAAGTGGGAAGGAGGTGGCAGCGGGGCTTCTGGCTGTTTTATTGGAGGAAGTGGGAAGGAGGTGGCAGCGGGGCTTCTGGCTGAGGGAGGGGTGGGGGGTGGGCAGCAAGCAGGGCATCACTGATGGTAATGTGACCAACTCTGGATGATTTCATAGAGCTGGTCGCCTGGAGACTCCGTCTGCTGCACATCCCGGTGTCCTTTGAGCTCGTAGTTGGATTTCAGAGCTCCCTGAGCCACACCACAGGCCAACAGATTCTGAGCTGCCCGGAGAGCCCGTTTTGGGGGCACCCGCTCTGCAGAAGCAGATGGAAAAGTTAGGCTGCTGCTCCCTCAAAAGGGCAGAGGCAGCAGGGGGTAGTGGTTTGTGTGCTTAGAGCTGGTTTTAGTCTCTCTGTGCCTCAGTTTCCCCAGCCCCAGTAGGGCCGATGGGTACTTTATGTAAAACCCACAGAACGGCATCTTGCTTGGGGGAGGCCCTCAGCAAGTATTGGTTATTTTGATGATGATGGCTTGTTCTCCCCTTATGCCCCCAGACTTCTGTTCTGCCCACAAGAGTCACTATTAAATACTTCCCAGATGCCCTGGGCTGGCTTGAAAATTTTGTACAGATCAACTAAGCCTCACTCCCACCTGGTGATTGAAAATGATCTTATTACCGGAAGAGGGAGTGAGCCGAGGAAGGGCAGTCCCTGGCCTGAGGTCACAGAGCTTGTAGACAGCAGAGCCTCTTAAGCACCTCTCACACTGCTGAGCCAGCCTCCCCCGCCATGCCACTCACCCATGTAGTCGCCCATGAAGGTGATGCCAATGGATTTGGAGTTCCAGTCAGGACCTGAGTGGGCACCCTTGGTGTTCCAGCCCCGGCCCTCATAGACATGTCCGTCTTCTCCAATCAGGAAGCTGCGTGGGAGGATCGGGCCAGCATCAGGGAGGGCTTCCAGGGCAGTGTCTCACCCACTTTCCTGCCATAGCAATTTTCCCAGCATCAACCTGACCCCTTCGCTTTCCACAGTAATGACCATTTATTGAGCCAGGTGCCACATGCCAAGCACAGCTCTGTATGTACCTTTTTCTCATCTGCAAGATAATCCTGTGAGCCGCTGCCACCCCTGTGTTGCATAGTCAGAGAAGTGGAGAGGTGGAGTCATCTGCCCAACGTCACCCAGCATTTGGGTAGAGCCTGACTCCTACCAACATGGTCTTACTCCTTGCTCTTTCTTGCCTCTCTGGAGGACTTGTTGAGCTCTTGCTTTGCCACACAACCCCTGAGGTAGGTATCCCTCCCGACATTTTTTGTCTGTTTGTTTTTTTGCCGTACCAGGGATTGAACTCAGGACCTTGCGCTTGCAAGGCAGGCGTAGTGTCGCTGAGCTAAATCCCACCTTCCCCTGTTATACGGAGGAGCTGAGATTCAGAAAGCCACATGATTTGCACAAGGTCATGCCCCTCAGAACTCTGCCCCCCAGCCTGCCTCTGGCCATTGGGGTCCACTTGGGGAACAGATTTAGGGGCTCAAGAGTTGAGGTCACGTGCTTCTGGAGGTTCTCAATCCTGGCAGCAGATCCTCCCGGCTCATTCAGCGCATCCTGACTGAATCTCCCTGGGCACCTTGGCATGAGCTAGACGGGCCTGCAGGATGTGCAGGTTCACAAGGGCGCTGATGACACCCAGAATGTTCCAGCTGCCCAGTCCAAGCCCTGGGTCTGTCCCTGAGGGAGCCGGCTCACAGGATCCGCTTCCGAGGAGACTAGTCACCCCAGTGGAGCCGGCTGCCGGGTCTGGGCTCCATGGTTCTGCAGCACCTGGTTGTGGTGCTCTGTATATTTCTTACCTGGATGCATCAAATTGAAACCTCAGCCACCACTGCCGGGTGGGTACAATCCAGATCCCCATGCACAGGTGAGGAAACTGAGGCTTAGAGAAAGAATGTGATGTGACAAGGGAGGGGTGTTGAGGGTGGCACGATGAACCCTAACATCTGGGAAGTAGACATTTCCATTTAGACAGCACCGGCAGCACCAGGCTGCTGCTCCCTCACTCCTGGGGAACAGTTAGATAGGAGCATCTGACCCTTGGAAATAGAGCCCAGAAGTTGGAGCCTTGGATGCGACCTGGAGTAGGAGGGGCTGAGGGTACCTTGGTAGCTTTGAGGCTTTCTGGGATCTGCTGGTGCAGTCTCCGAGTGGGGCCTGGCAAGTTGCATTTCCTGTTCGCTTTGTTCTGGGGAGACCCTGTGGTGCTCAGATGTTCCCTCTCTCTGTGGAGGCTCTGGTGTGGACTGCAGCTTGGTGCACTGGAAAGAGCTGGTGGGCACAGCCCCTGGGGCTGATCCAGCCAAGCCCAGGCTGTTTCTGCCCTCAGTCCCACTGCAGCCTGTTCTCCACGCAGCACTCAGAGGAAGCCTCTTAGAGCTGAGTCAGTGTATCCCCCTGTGCTGCTCAGAATCACCCATGGCTCCCATTTTACTGAGTGAAAACCAAAGTCCTCTGTGACCAACAAAGCCCCGCCACCCTCTCCTCACTCTGCTCCCACCCCACCTACATCCAGTGAGAGCTGCTCACTGGGCCTTATGGCATTTGATTTGCACCCCTCAGGCAGCATTCCTCGGCTCCCTGAACCCAGAGCCACCTCAAAGCCACTGTTTCACGGAGGCCTCACTCTCCTCAGCCCTCTGAAGGAGCCTAGTGGATCCGGTTCCAGCTTTGGAGGTCACCCTTGACCACCCCATTCCTTTTACCCACCACTCCCATCATCACTGTGGGGGGACATCTTGTTTTCCTGCTCTTTGGCGGCTTTGCTGGTCTTTAAATCACACACAGGGAAGAGTCGGTCTGTTCCCTGCTGCATCCTCATTCCAGTCTCCTGCACACTGCCTGGCACATAGTCGGTGCCTAATGGCAATAACCCATGGGCTTGGGGCTCCTGTGACATGTTGGGCAGTGTCCTCAGTCCACTGCAGAGGGCAGCTGAGAGGACAGGCCCAGTCCCTGCTGGGGAGGGAGCTGCACTGGGTCTCAGCGGCTCCCCCTTACTCAGGTGGATTCCTCTTCCCGGGCACCAGCCTTTTAAAAGGGGATCCTTTCAGAGAGGAGGGGACGTCCGGTGCTGGGCAAAGCCTGCCCGCTCTCGTAGCATCTGCTGCCCGCACCTGCCCAGCTCTGCGAGGGAGCTCAATCGCTCAGGTCTGCCTGGGCCCGCAGCGTCTCTGTCCGCGACCACCAGTCCCAGGGCCGCCAGGCCCCCTCTGCACTCACTTGTAGCCCACGTCGCACCAGCCCTGCTGGCGCACGTGAAAGCGCTGCACGTTCCGAGCCTGCTCCTCGCAGGAGGCGGGGGAGTCGCAGGTGCTGCCCGCCGTGTGCGAAATCACCACGTAGCGCACGGGCAGGGTCAGGCTCGCGGTGCAGTCAGAAGCCAAGGCCTTCCACTCGCTCCGAGGCACGACGGAGTGGCAGCTGATCTGGCCTCCAGCACTCTGAGCCACTCCGAGGAGGGCGAGGAGGACCCAGGCAGACAGCCCGCAGTGGCTGGACATGTTGGGAAGGGAGCGCGGGGCCAGCAAGGGACGCTCAGCCCGGCCGCCGCGGGCCGCCTTTATCCGCAGGCAGCGGGAGGGGCGGGGCTGCTTCCCGTCGGGAACCGTGGGCGGGGCGCCCCGGACCCCGGACTCAGCTTCCTCCTCGGGCAGCGCCGGAACGGGTTGCGGATTCCGGTCGGGTGGGGAGGGGCGCACAGACCTGGGGGCGCGTCTCCCTGTGGTTTCAGGAAGAACCAGGGTCTGGGCAGCTGCCCCGTGTTTTCTCTCAGTGGGGCATTGGATAACTTACCTGGAACTTGCACCACAGGGAGAGGCCCAGGGCCTTGGCACATCTGTTCCTTCCTGCAGATAACAAAGGTTCCCATTTTTTAAACAACGTCCTTGGTTCCCCAAGGCTGATGATATGGAACTCTTGCAGGAAGCTAAAGAGGTGAGTGTTGGTAAGCACCTTTCACAAATGAGTAAAACAAAGTTGGGAGAGCGGAAGTCACTTGCTGAGATGTGGCTGCTGGTAAAGTCCAGGAACCCCAGGCTGCCTGCGGTTGAATTCTGGTCAGTTTGTCGTGCATGAGCCTTGGTAAGTTACGGGCTTGCATGGAATTTTGCTTAGTGCTCATGGAAATTAAAGCAACGGTGTGAATTTCCAGGCAAAGCCTTAATTAAAAGTAAAAGAAAGGAAGCACAACTCTGACAAAGCCTATCCTCTAACAAAGGAAAGTAAGAGAAGATAGGAAAAAGGCCCAGTTTGAGAAATTGAAGGGTGTGTTCAGGAAGGAATGGAGACCATTTATGGGGTGCTGTGTTGGTCTGGGGGTCCTGTTGGTCATTATCTCAGTCCTGGTTTTACGGCTCTGGAGGAATCCTCAGGACTCATGGGAATTTGGGTCCCCTGGGGTGATGGGCTTTGTGGGGCAGTCTCAGTCTTGTGGAACTGCTGGCATCCCAGCTGACCCGGGGTTAAGGACAGCACGGATTCCGGCACGGCTATATGTGCCTGGAAATCTCTTATCCTGGTGTCCTCAGTCTTGAAGCGTTACGCAACAGATTTTGTTTTGGCAGCTTTTGAATAAAAAATTTTTTTTATTTTGGTACCAGGGATCAAACTCAGGAGGGTTATGCAACAGATTTTGTTTTGGTAACTTTTGAATAAAAAAATTTTTATTTTCGTACCAGGGATCAAACTCAGGCCCTTGCGCTTGCAAGGCAGGCAGTGGAACCACTGAGCTAAATCCCCCACCCAACAGTTCTTACTTCTACCAGCAACGTGTTGGAGCCTCCTCATCCTCACCCCAGATGTGGATGCCATTACTTCTTAAATTTATGAATATAGAACAATATCTCCTTGCAACTTTAACTGGCATTTTTATGACCACCGAGGAGACTGGTTTCTGTGTTTGATGCCCATTTGAATTTACTCCTCTGTCAGTTACCTGTTCATTTGCCCATAATGAAATGGGTTATTTTTGTTATCCATTTGCAAATTAGAGAGCCCCTATCTGGGGTTATTGATTTGTTGGGTATGTTTTGTGCATCTCAGTTCTTTTTAGAGATATTAATGTACACACAAGAAAGTACACAAATGAGCTTTCTACAGAATCAAGAGAGTGCAGAGCTCTATGATCTTCACAGAGTGAATGCACTCAAGTATCCAGCACCCAAATGAAGAAACAGCCTCATTTAAAATTTTCATAGCTATTACCAGACACCATTTCAAGGCAGGCGCATTACCATTGAACTAAATCCCCAGCCCTTGCCAGATACCATTTCAAAAAAATTTTTTTTTTTTTTTTTGATACCAGGGATCGAACTTGGGTCCTTGTGCTTGCAAGGCAGGCGGCAGAACCTCTGAACTAAATCTCCGGCAAGATTCTGGATTTTACCCAGCAGTGTAACCACCTTAACATGTTTTAACGATCCAACGATTGATATCTGATTATTATTTATTTAGATTTCCATCAACACTACAGAGGCGTTTGTCTTTTAAACATATTTATGGCTGTTTGCATCCAAGTTTTGTGAATTATCTGTTCATTTTCTTCCTGAGCTGTTGTATATGGACAATAGTAACCCTAGGACTTTCAAATGTGCTGTAGAAATTTTTCTTCAATCTGTTTAAAAGCTTCTATTTTTCTTCTTTTCTGTATCTTGTATCCTGTCTTGCATTAAGAAGACCTTTTGCATGCTGAGATTATAAACATTTTCTATTTGAAAAAAATACTGTTATTTTGTGTTATACTTTCAGTCGGTTAGAACTTTGTTTCCAAATGGCCAGCTGTTTCCCAGAGTTATTTTTTATAAGGTCAGGTCTGGTTTTAAATTTCAGGATTCCCACTTGTTAGATGGATGAGCTTGGGCAATTGGGCAGCATTTGACATAAATGACCATTTCCTTGAAATGTTCACGTCCCTTAGGTTCTGTGACCTAAGACTGTGTAGATTTTCCTTCTGCTTCTGTTTTATTTCCTTTCTTTCAGACTTACTTTTTTCCCTCCTGGACCATCACTACATTTATTTATTTAGCATTGCTAGGATGGAACCCAGGGCCTCAACTGACCCACACTCCAAGCTGTTTTTTTTTTTTTGAGACTGGGTCTCACTAAATTGTCCAGGATGAGCTCCAACTTGTAATCCTCCTGCCTCAGCTTCCCAGAGTGCTGGGATTATATTCATGTTGTTGCATCTGGAAGATGAGTACTGCTGCTCAGTTTTTCAAGCACCCCACTGGGGTCTGGACTCAGCCCCCATTAAAACTGAGAAGGACAAATTTTAATGAAAGGAAGACACTTTGTAAAGAGGCAAAGAAAGGAAGGGGAGAATGGAGAAGACAGTTGCCTCTATAAGAAAAAATCTTAAAGCTGAGGGATTTAGCTCAGTGGTCCCGAGTTTGATCCCCGATACAAACAAAAAAAAGGGGGCTCGGAAAGGTGGAGGACCTGAGGGCCCTTTGTTCCCAGTGGCTTTTTATTTAGAGAGAGTGACCCCCGCCCCAGAACCGGCCGTAACCGGACTGACTTCCGGGCGGCTCTGCCGACCGTCATTTCTTCTGCTGTCTACCTGCAGCTTATGTCTGTCTGTCTGCTTACTTGTCCCCGACCTACCTCTGAGGCCTTCTCTTTGGGGTGGGCAGCTAGTTGGCCAGGGTGCCTTGCTCTGGGTTAGTGTAGAGAGAGTCAGGGGGCGTGTGGACGTCTGTCGCACTCCATGATGACCCTGGAGTGAAGGATATAGCGAGTCTGGAGTGAGTACAGTGCACGAAGCGGGTACGTTAGTGCACAGGCGTGAGCGCACACGGCCTTGAAGGTAGTGGGCCCCCTTCGGTTTCCCTACATCTTACTGGAGGTGGGGGCTTATTGTCTGTGCACCTGGCTTTTTCTCTGTGTCCTGCCTGTCGGCTTTTTCTGGTGTCTTGGTGCAAGTCCCAAGGCCATTTGGTGCCTCCCTTTATCTGGGTTTTCTTTCTGTCTCTACCCCCTGTCCATGACTTATTTGTTCCCAGGGGCATTTTTCTAGTAAAATTCGTTGTTAACTGTTTCTAGTCGGGGTTGGGGAGAAGACTCAATGAGGCCCTATTCTGTTTTCTTGTTTGCAGACCCCTGACCCCTCAAGGTGTCACCGTACCTGCCACTTATACTCTACTTCTCCTCCCAAGTGATGTCACGTACCTCATGGCTTCCGCCACCATGAAATGCTTTGATTCCCCAACTTGTGTGACTCACCCAGAGCTCTCAGCTGAGGTCTCGATCTAGGTACCCCAACCTGCTTGACATCTCCACTTGATGTCCCACTGGCATTTCCTGTGCAAGATGACTTGTGATCTTCTCCGTCATATCATCCCTCTTTTGGGAGTCTCGTCCAAGGGACGGGTGTCACCGTCAGTCTACCTGTTCCAAAAGCCATAAATCTGAGCACCTTCCTCGAAATGTTCCTTGTCTTGTATCAAGCACTCCAAACAATGCCCAGTATGGAACAGGCGCTCAGTACAGAGTTACTCGTTGGAGGGCACCACGCTGCTGTTACCTCCTAAACACCTTACTCGTCAGACCACTTCTGTCTCTTTCCCTTCCTCCCACCCTGGTCCAAATCCCCCTCTCGTCTGGCCTGTGTTCTCCCGCCTCAGTGATCTCCTGGCATTCACTCCGGCCCAAACGCAGGGCCAAGCAGGTAATTTCTGAGGGTCACATTTTCCTGGGGCTCCTTACGACCCTTGGGATGGACCCCAAACTCCCCGCCGTGTGACAGCAGTGACTTCCTCTGCCCATCCTGCCCTTCCTGCTGCCCCTGAACACGTCGTGTACCCTGCCCCCACGGGGATTTCACACACACGGTACAGGTACAGGGTTTCTCTAGGGGAACCTTGAGACATCCAGATCTTTGTACTTTAGCCTGAAGGTTACAAAACACTGAGCTACCTTTTGTAAGAAGACAGGAATATTTACACATCAGCCTAAGAGGGAGATGTGCCTTGTGGGCATTTGCTGCAATTTCAATGGGTAATTGTTACATTGCTTTTAGTCCTTTTAGAACTTTTATTTCTATTAGTACATGACTGTGGCACACAATCATTACATTCATCATGAGGGGTTGGTGTATGTCCACAACGCGTCTCTTTTTATGTCCTCTTCCCCTCCATCTCTTGGGTTTTTAGTCTTGAGTCTGTATTACTTGGCACTTTTTGACAGAAGGAAATTAGATTTACTCCCTGTGTCTTTTATTTATTGATTTTGTATTTATGTACTTATTTATTTTTGGTAGCGGGGATGGAACTCAGGACCTTGCACTTGTGAGGCAGGCAGTGAAACCACTGAGCTAAATCCCCGGCCCTCCCTGTCTTTTAGAAAATTGAGTTTTTAGATATTTACTCACCAAGTTATTTTATTTAATGTTGTAATTAACTTAGCCAACGAGAAAATTCAGATTCTCTTGGAGTTATCAAAATACATTTGTTTTCTTTGTTGTATCAAAAATAAGAGAAGGGGCCAGGGATGTAGCTCAGTGGTGTCAGCATCTGCCTCAAAAGCGCAGGGAACTGAGTTTGATCCCTGGTACCTAATAATAATAATAATAATAATAATAATAATAATAATAATAATAAAAAAAATAATAGAAGCAAAGTGATGGCTCCAAGGATATGCTTAAAATGAAAGGCATTCTATCCCTGGACAGCGCACTTCCTGTGTGCCCTGTCCCAGTTGTCACTGAGTGTCCCGTCCCTGTTACCCCCTCAGAGCAACACCTGCTTTCCCATTTCTCTGAGTTGGAAAAATCTGTGTATTTTCCCCTCCCTTTTCGTCTGTGTATAGAAAATTGAGTCCATAAATAGGGTCATCCAGCAATTCACAGTCC